GTTAGTTACCTCGAACGTCGGCAATAAGCCATATACATCCCTCGGGCCTGCGGCCCTCGGGATGTATATGGCTTATTACCTCCGTTCTCGGTAACTAACTCTTACTTAAGTGATTGTAGAAAATGAGCTAAATCATCAGCTCTTTAAAAAATCTTCATACTTCAGTTCGTTCATATAGGCAAACTTTAAATAGCATTTAATGGCAAAGATATGCGATTTTTCAAGTTATTTTTTTCGGATCTTGCAAGTGGAACTCTAGTTCTACAAAAGCCGTATGAAAACTTTTTAAGTTAAGTGCTTCTTCATGCCAGAAATAAGCGTTTTTGATGACAACTACGGCCATTTTGGCCTATTTTCTTTGTAAATGAGCGCGAGCAATCGAGCTGAACATTTGAATTTGGCGCTTTTGAGCTCATAAATGTCCCGGATGTGACGCCCCATTCTGCCCGATGCGATGTCCTTGTCTGCAACAAATAGTACTTCAAAGAATGTTCAACAAAACCGTCCATTTCAGAGTCATCTGATTCCACAACGGAACTATTTTCAGAAGAATCAGAGTCGTATTCGGAATCACTGGACAGGAATTCTGTACTAATTAATTCTTTCATTCCCAGGCAAGAGCAAAATTAAGGACACGTGCTACTAGCGCAGCTTTATTTCCTGTTAATACGTTAAGATTGTTCTGCTTGAGGTAGATATTTAGTTTTGCTGTCAGAGCTTTGACTTCGTGTTCATCTTTCCAGTTAATGTTTGGAAGGGTGTTTCGTTCAGCTTTCCTTTTTTGAGCTTTTATTTCAAGAAACTCAAGATGTTGAACAAAGCATTTGAGAGTGGTTTCATCAACCATCAATTTCTAACACACCTCCTGCATTTCATTCACGTTGAATGAGGTTAACCTACCAGAAGCAAATATCTGCTTGATTTGCATACTTGAAAGTTGTCGGACTCAGACTGGTCACATTAGATGGAATGTATCCGCGTGGAAAGGCTGTTGTGTCACCGAGATCGGGAACAGGGAACCAATTTGCTGGGACACCTGCTGTCCAGCCCTCCTTTTCACACGATTTACATGTTGGCTCACAAGCAAACTTCAAGTAATCTAAATAGTACTGCCCTTGTCGTACATGATCTTTCTTTAGTTCTCGAAGCTTCAAACACAAGCCATTTCCACACATCATTCCGCGTTTACCAGCAGATGCCTTCCTCCACTGAACAAGATATTTGGCAAGAAAATGTACGATCTGATTCTCTTTAGGGTAACTGGGCACAGAAATATTTTGAATTTCGAGTATTTTGAATAATTGTTTAACACTGTTTATATTGATATATGTTACAGTTACGGTTTGTATTCAGAATATTTTATTGCTTTTATATACATTTCGAATAAAACTTAAGGCCCCCCTCCGTAAAATGAGTGATTTTACTTTGAGCCCCCCTATCTTAGCATCAATTTTATGTGATGCCCCCCCCCCTCCTGATAATTATTGCACAGTCCCTAAGTGTTGGTGCTTTTGGTGTTGGTGTTGATTTTTGCTTTCCATTGTAATTTGTAAATTCAGTTGATTTTGCTTTTATTTTGTTTCCTTATTTTTCTAATGCACAAGTTTCCTGCTAACACTGAAACAAAGCCGTACTTACTATATTCCTGTACTCCAAACTTGACTGATACTTTGTTGGAAAGCTTAGAAAAATATGAAACAGATTGTAATAAAAAAAAAGATTAACATCTGTTTTGTCCCAATTCCAAACGGTTATTTTCTTTGACAAAATATTTTTCATTGACTTACGAGATGTCCGTAGTAAGCATCCATTGTCCAATTTCCGGTCATTGCAGGATGACCAAGATAGATGAATTTGTGAATGAATCCTAAATACATTTTAGCATATATAAGAAGCAAGATAAAATAAATATATAATATACCTTAGTTTAGCTTTTCTTCTGAAAAGAACTATAGGAATATGAACCCCTTATGTTCCCAAAAATGAACGAAGATAGATTCCTTTGCATTTAGTATACTTAGATGTTCAACTTTATACGAACCAGATTTGTTAACCAGGCCCTGCCACTGTTGCACTGCGATGCCTTGTGGATTCTTTAATTTCGATAAAATAGAATAAAAAACAAGAAAGCATGAGTCCTAAAGATACATTTCCAACTTAATTACACACTCTGGTAATGAACATATTGACAGGCAAGTATAAAGACCAGAAAATGAGAAAATGCAGACCGTCTATCTATGAAGTCCACCAAGACACGACTTAGAGATTGGAAAGAAAATTAGTTCACTCTCTCTCTTTCGCTTCGTAGCTGGAGAAGTTGAATTTCAATTTGTTATCACGATGTGCATTATTACATTTTCTTTCTCCCCCCCCCCCCCCCCCCCTCTATGGTGTTAAAAAAAGACAAGCAAGTACCACACCTTACCTTGACGATAAATTTGACCTGCAGATAAATAGATCGATGTGAAAACTACGTCTTATGTTTTCTAGGTAATGATTTTCTATGCTAGTTTTCTATGCGTTATGTTTTGTTTCTTTGTGTGATTTTCGGAATGGGATGTTTTTAATTATTTTGTAAATTAGGGAATCAATATGGGAGGGTGAGGGTTCCGCGCGAGGCTCCGTACACTGTGCTACCGTGGCCATCCAACTTATTTTTTTGCCAATTAGCAACTAGCAAATCAGACAGCTAGAATGTGTGCACTCAGCGTGACCGCAAATGTTTAGATTTATTTCGTACTTTGCAGCAAAAACGTAAATAAATGGCTAGGAATTTGCATTGGTGATTTTCATACCGATTTAATTCGCAATTTGCTGGCTTACACTGTAAATAAATTGTAATATTTAAAAAATATAATGTACCTATCTATCGCTCGTAACTACTATCAATAATCGAAACTCCCTCGATTTCAATTACAATTTACGCACCTTCKTCGTACTTGGCTTCAAATCCATTCCCAGAGGGATAACATGTAGTCTTACTAGAAGAACATATTGAATCACAAAGTTACTGTATAATAACTGGCTGGTCAAGATTCGTAAAATTAAACTGTGTAACTTCGCTTTCGACATATAACTACATAGCCAAGCCTATCTCTAGAAACTCTCATTTACCATTTTCTTCTGGAGTATAGATTGGCTTGTCTGTCTGGATAAGAAGGATGCCATCTTGGTAACTCAGACGAACTTTTGCGTTACTGTAGAAGCGTAACTGGGGTCCTTTGCATTTTGCAAACAGGTGGATATACTTTTGCTTTTGATCTCCTCTATCTAATATGTACTCTGGGTTGATCTACGAGGCACAACGATAATAAAAGAATTATTGAATGAGAATAAACATCACAGGCCATGTTATTAAAACCAAAAAATGTCGATCGTGCTATCTGCCACAGAGCATCTTAATATGACACTGTGAAAAGGCATCATTCACCACGCTAGCTTCACGGTACGTAATTTGACGACACCTTTTATTTGACCGAATCGAACTGTGGTCAAGATCATTATTAAGCCGAAAACCACGGCACACCATGCAACCCTTCTTGCACACAGTTAAGTTTTTCAACTCGGAAAAGGCTATRAATGTGTTAGCGCTCAAATTTCGAATATTTCATATAAATAATGTGCATATTTTTTTTCGCAGTCGGTAGAATTCGACATGATAATTTTATTATTAGAACTTGCCTTAACTGTTAGAAGTTTGGGGTCACCTGTTTTGGACAAAAAATGAATCACATTTTACAGAAATAATACATAATTGTAGTGTTATTCGAGGTTCTTAAAGACTGATGAAATACTCCTACTCCCTTCATCCCGACCCCCTCAGCTCTCCTTTCTCCTTCCCCTCTAACCTTACGGCCACCTTGCACGCGGTGCCGCTACGGAAATTTAAGCTTTAATCTGTGAGTCAGCCGCCGTGTCCTTATTAGTAGATCAGTCCAATGATTGGTCCAGGGTTCAATAGAATTGACATGTATTGTAACTTTATCTTTTAAATAGTTTCACATAGATAAACAGGAGAACATTTAATAAATAAATAAATAAATAAATAATAAATAAAAAAAAAGAGGTTGAGCTCCTAGTACAATACCTGCAGAGAT